GCTCTGTGATGTCACAGCAGAAAGGGGCAGTTTTCAAGCTGAACGTGGGCTTTCACCACTTGGCCTTTAACTTCCCAGGCTGGAAGGATTCCTATTGGTATGAGCATATGCCCTTTGATCCCACACCATCTAGTGTATCTTGCTAAGGCATCCAACACAGGCTAAGATTGTTCGGATGCTTTTGACATCAGCCTCTCTGCATGTTTCCTATACCAGGCCGGATGGAAGAATAACGTTCCATGAAGTGCCAAGCAAACCAGAAGTGAGCAGAGGCTGTTTAGGTGGAAAACACACAGTGGGGGGTGGTGGGGGAAGGGGAAGGTGACTTCAAGTTAACAATTCCGTTCTGTCCCTCAGCTTTGTCCCGATTAGCTTGACTTTGGATTCATTTGTAGTACGTGGAGCTAATTTCTCATAGGAAATATGGAATTAGCCTCTTACATCTGTGTAGCTTCAACTGATTATCACCTAATGCTTAACTTTAGGCGATTCCTTTTTAGTACCTGGAGCTGGTTTCTCATAGGAAATATGGAATTTGCCTATTATATATATATGTGTGTGTATCTTCATCTATTTTGTTTTGGGTTACATCCAGCAATGCTCTGGGCTGACGCCTGGCTCTGTGCTCAAGGATTATCATTTCTGGTGAGCTTGGGGAACCAAGCAGGGTGTGCTGGGGATCCAACCGGGGTCAGCTGCATGCAACCAAATGCCCTGCCGGCTGTATTATTGCTCCAGTCTTCTTCATCTGTATTTGGACACAGAATTGTTTGGGTGGCAAAGTTTCCCTTGTATTCTTCACTACTGAGATTTAAAGGTAAAAACAAAACCGCCCCCTCCCCCCATACCATCAATATAAAACTGCAACTGCGTATTTTGTAAGTCAAACCTTTGATGCTTCTGAGTCTTTAAAATGGAAAGATCTTTTTTAAAAAATCTCCATAAATCTAATGACCATTCTTTCATTCCACCCCCGACCCTCCCAGTTCCTACAGACTATAATTAGGTCTTTGCACGATCTTTATGTATGGGAGATAAAAGTCTCTTCACTAGTAAGTCTTGTAGGATTCCTTAGAAGACATTATAAAAGTTACTGTTATATATAGAAATAATACATCATCCAACCTGGTATAGCTGCAAATCCTTAAAACCTAATACTCTGAAGAAGAGGAAATCCCAAAAATGAAAACAAGTTTATAATGATCAAAGGCAAAACCAGCTTAAAAGTAAGCCACTTCATAAGTGCAATGTCATTAGGGTTTTTTTTCTTCTTTTTTGGGTCACACCCGGCAATGCACAGGGGTTACTCCTGGCTCATGCACTCAGGAATTACTCCTGGTGGTGCACAGGGGACCATATGGGATGCTGGGAAATCAAACCCAGGTTGATTGTGTGCAATGCCCTACCCTCTGTGCTATCGCTCCAGCACTGATGTCATTAGGTTTGACTGGATGTACATGGCGACACACATTATTTCAAATGAGTAAGCAGTCCAGGCTATCTTTTAGGAAGTTTGTGACAAAATTCCATGCGTCACATATCTAGGAAATCAGATGGTCCCAGATTGGGTGAACTTTTATTCAGCTCTATGTTTTTATTTGTGGCCCTCTTAACAAGAAATGAATATAGCACAACTTGAATTTCAAAATACTATTTTTTAGCCACCTCTAAATTTTTCCAGTTAAAACTAGAATTTGAAGAGGCCAGATAGTGCCATGGTTAGGCATTTGCCTTGCACACAGCTGACATGGGTTTGATCCCCAACACCCCACAGGGTCCCCCAAGCACACCAGGAGCGACCCCTGAGCAACCCCAAATGTGGGCCCAAAACTAAAATAATAAAAATTTTTAAAAATTAAAGAAGAGTCCGGGAACAAAAAGATCAATCCTATGAAAGCTAAACTTTGCTGGGTTTAAATATTTTGCAAATGACTGGGATGAGATGATGAATGTCATCACCAGCTAACAATTATTAATTATATGAAAGCATGAACACATTTTCCTTTAAATAGTTGAGATTCTGTCTACAAAGCCTCTGTTATATTCATTCACGTTATTCTTACATTCTGAAACAATGGTGCTTCTAAACCAGTGGAATGCTGCCAGAGGATTTTAACAGAGTTTGAAGGCAACATGACCAAAAGGCATCGTTTAATTTGGCTTAGGCAATGAATGGACTCCTTATCAGAGCAGCTGAGGCTGTATATAATTAACAGCATCTGTCAACATTCACAGGCCCCATATACAACAAGCCAGCCTCACAGCCCGACAGACAGCCACCTCCAGCTTCTGGAGTTGTAAATCCAATGAGGACTGAACAAAAAGTCAGCCCCCAAGCATCACTAGGACACAGATAATACATAGATAATTTTAGGGATACACTAGCAGGCCATGACACAACTGCTAATTAATGGTAACTATCTAGAAATCTGTTAGCATCCAGACTTTAAATGAACCAGCTAGTAACAAAGAAACAGGAAATAAGACTACAGAGATAAGTCTTGTACTGGTGATCACTGATTTTCGAAGTCTTTCCCTTGTTTTTAAAGGATATGAAGATCAGACCCCACTTTTTTTATGATGCACTTTTCAATTTAATGCAACTTGAGTATTTCGAATTAGAGCATGAAATTCTTTCTATGGAAGTTTTTGGTTGTTTTCTACTATGGGCATTTTCCCTGGCGAACATGTACAACACAGAAAAATCCAGAAAAGTTTCATTAAATAAATTTATTTGTTAAAATAATTTAACTCCAAATACAACTGTTGAATTTGCATTGAGTTATAACTACAATTCATGTTTTAATTGAAATGTCAAGGTTTAACAACTGACACTGTTACAAAACAATAAACTTTTGTTCAATTTTTAAATGGTCAGTTGTATTAGAGGTCAACAATTAACTGTGAACTCTATCTCTGGGAAACCCCAAATCAATAATGATAAGTCTGTTTCCAAAACCCACTGCAGTCATTCTTGAAACCCTGATCAAGATTTAATAGATGCACAATGACACATTAATTTAAAAAAAAGGGGGGGGGAAGACCCCACAGTCTTTAACAGCTGATTGGCTAAGGAGACAATTAAAGCTTACCCAGTGCTAACACAAGACGGCTGAGAAGGACGAGGAATAGAAACGAACAACAGCAACCAACCAAGTATGCACTTGCACGACCTTACGAACGCGCACAACATCCCCACTGGGAAACTCTGGAAAGCAAAGAGCAGGTACCCTTAGGCAGCATTTTCTAGATACAGAAAAGCAAGTATCAGTAGTTTCACCATAGCAATGTGATGGTGCTTGGAGCAGCGAGAGTTCAAAGTTCAGTCCTAATTCTACAAACCGATGGAGGAAAATATCATCAAAGCACCTTTCAAGAGTTTTAGAAAGATTTGATGGAACACTTTTGATCAGCTGCTGGCTTGTTTTTTGTGTAAGTTGAGCAGAATGAAAGGCATCCGTCACCATCACTTATCACAGCTTGAAAGAACTCCCAAAAGTTGCCAGGTACAAGGAAAAAAAAATTTCTTTTTTTTTTTTTTTTGAAAATGCTGCCTTTGTATAAAAAAAAGTAAAAGCAAGACAAAGCCCAAACAAAAGGAAACCTTATCACAAGAGCTAAAGAAAAAGTGGGTCTTTGGATCAAACCATAACATTTTAAGGCATGTTAGAACAACTTTCACTTATCTAGTTGCTAGTCTGATCAGGGCCTAAAGATAAATAGTGACACAAGGTCACCAACTTTTCTCTGTAGCCACTATTATTTCATGTGCCAACAAATTTAGTCTTCCTGATTTTAAGCTTTTTTTTTTTTTTAAAGTAACGATTCAACAAACACATTCATGCCGGCTGAGTTCTGTTCACGGCAGATGTGATGGCCCAGGAGGTGGCCAGGGCTGTTCTGGATCCTTCCATGCTCTGTCGCTAAATTTGCAGGGCTGTGTGGAAACACTGATCAGGTAGCAAAATCTGCTATTCTTAACATCTTTACAGTAAAATGCCCACCTTACTGTCTGTCACAAACACTTCTAACTGAAGCCCCAATTTTTAGGTATTCCTTTCCCCCTGACGTTCTACCCCCGCTGTTCAGGTGACTAATTTTTCTGGTCTGCAGAGCAATCCATAAGGGAAAACTGCAGAAATCTGTGATCAATGTCTGGGACAGGGGGAATCCGAGCTGTCATGAATCGTTACCAATATGGAATTCTTGAAGAACAGAATCAGTCATATGAGGCTTCAAAATCCACTGAAAAATCTATTTTGGTCAATCGATTCTCTTTAGATTTCTAATTTCCACCCCCATCTCTGAATGAGATAAATTTTTATATCATGACGTTAGTTCCAATACAACGGGTTAGAACTTTTTTTTTTTTTTTGTCCTACGAGCAAGGTGCCTCATAATTGGGGACTCATTTAGAAGCCTATACTGAAGAACATGGAACATTCACAATTCAAGGCCTTTTGACAAGTGTGGCCTGGTTACACCCACATTATCTGTTTTCTCATCTATGAAAAAAAGCGCTATCCACCTGGATATTTGTTTTTATTATTATTTTTTTTTCTACCTTCTAAGCTCAACGCCAGTTCACTTGACAACATGGGGGCTACCAATCACTTCCACTGTGGATAGAAAACACAAATCGTTTCAAAAGGAGAAAGCTGTTTTTTGTTTTTGTTTTTTTTTTTCCGTATGCTTATTCTGCAGTACGGATGCGCAGGCAGGCAGTTAGCTCTGACTTGTGCCAAATTCGTAGGGACAGTAAACACGCATGCACGCACATACACTCTGCTTGCGGTGGCGCACGGTTCAGACCAGAGGTCTTGCACAAGAGTGGGAACCGAGAGAACATGGGGCGGTATACAGATCACAGAATCACAGGCTCGGGCGATATTGCAGTTCCCAAGGGCAAGTTTAGCTCCAGCGGCTCCTTCTGGCTGGCATGAGCACACTGAAGGGGGCTGGAGACCCTTCTCCACTTGATTGTAAGACTTATGAATAGGTTTGTTTTTTTGTTTTTTTTTTCTTCCTGTGCCATTAGTCATGCAAATGATAAATACTTCACGGCGGCTATGAAAACCCAAAAATGTCAGAGCTTGGAGCACCTTATTCAAAACCAAAATATTCACTCTAGCTTTATTTGCCACTTCAGTAATCAGGGCAAAATTGGTAGAAGAGAAAAAAAAAAGTCATAGAATTCTCCAGAAAAATGAAATACAAAAGGTTGGTTGTTGGGTTTGTTGTTTTTTCTTTTTCTTTTTTTGTCCCTTACCTTCCACTCTTTAATTTATGGTCTACTCTGAAACCCAAATGATTTCACATGGCTATTCAAAAAAAAAAAATTGTTTTAAAAAAACAAAGCCTGCAATTTAAGCTCTGCTGCAGTAAACTTGATTTTGAAAGCAGATTAAGCCAAGAATCACACCACAACCCTAGCCCTTACAGGCAAGAAGGAATTGGCGGCTTTAACAAACGCAAGAAACACCAGGCATCTGTCCTGTCCAGTGAGGTGTACGCAGGCGGGGTCGTGGCTGGCAATGGCTTCTGTTCCCTTACACGGCGGTGCGTGTCCCCCCGATGAGGACGGGCGTGTGACTAAGGCTCCGCACCCCCTCTCCGTCCCGGCGGCTTCCTCCTCCTTGCAGAGAGCGAGCCAGACCCTGCTCGGTTGATAAAGGGGTGGGCCTGGGCTTCTCCTTGGGTGGCCCCCAGCCCCCGAGTGGCCAGCAAGGGCTGGAGCCACCTCTGCGTGCTGGGCCACATGTTCCTGGGATGCGGCGGGCCTTCTGCTCTCTGGGGAAACTGAGGCAGGAGTTAATTCTGAGTCCCCCCCCCCCAAAAAAAAAACAAGGAGGAATGGTCTACAATTTGGAAAACGAAACGAGAAAAAAATTAAAATAAAATAAAACAAAACAAAACCCAACAAGGAAGGGGTCAGCTGAGCGAAGAATCTCTCCCTGGAATTCAGCCAGCAGGCCAGCTATCAGGTTCTTAGCTTGAAGAAACACCTTGGTTATGAAGCACTAGGTCGAGTCCGGGAAACTCAGTACTCTCTCGTAGGAAAATATTTCTCCTTTTTTACTTATTATTTATTTATCTTTTTTTTTTAAAGAAGAAGAAGAAGAAAAAAATATTTTACTTGTAAGTGGTCAGAGGACTCCTTCCGGCTTCACGCTCGCGACGACGTTTTCCTTTTGTTCCAAACGTTGGCTCCTGCCAACGCAGCGACAGTGCCCCGCATGGCTCTCGACGGAGATGGGTCACCCTGTAGATCCATTGGCTGTGCCTTCAAGTTGCAGGTGCAGAAAGGAGACTGGGGACGCTGGTGAAGACTGGAGTGGCTGAACACCCCCCCATCACTTGGCGTGAGCGACTGGCAATCACTGCTCGACGGGCCTGGGGGGGTGGGGGTGAGGGGGGCTTCGGCTTCACCGCGGGGGTCCCAGTCCGCCTCCAGTCTGGAGCAGATCCCGTCCTGGGCCGCCCCGTCTGCTGCTATTGGATGTTACACGCCGAGCAGCACGGGTCGTCCTTGTCGGGCTGCGCCGCGTAGTTCATTTGCCGCACGATTTCGGCAAAGAGTTCGTCCACCATGGTCTTACTCTTGGCGGACGTCTCCATGAAGGGGCAGCCCCACTCCTCGGCCAGGGCCCGGCCTTCGTTGGAGGACACTTCCCGCTCGCTCTCCAGGTCCACCTTGTTCCCCACCAAGATGACGGGCACCTTCTCATACCTACGAGAGAGCAAAGCACACACAGCTATTGCGAGGTGAGCAGCACAGAATCAAATGTGCAGGGCATTCTTCTCTCCCCATCCTGGGGCAGAACCGCACCCCACTGCACTTTTTTTTTTCTTTTTGGGTCACAATTGGCAATGTTCAGGGGTTACTCCTGGCGGTGCTCGGGGGACCATATGGAATGCTGGTAATCGAACCCGGGTTTGCCGTGTGCAAGGCAAACACCCTGCCCACTGTGCTATCACTCCAGCCCCTCAGTGCACTCTCTTTTATCCCACAGGGACCCTTGGGTTGCCCCTGGGCTTGTCACATGACTGAGGTGACAAGCACTGTAAATCACTGGCTTTTACGGTGATTTTTTTTTCCTTCCCAACACGACCTGTGCTAGACCCTGTACATGTAAACCCCCCAAATACATGAGCTTGAAACAGAACCCCAATACCCCAATGCTGTGCTTATTCAGGGTTTGGCTGTTGAGAGGTGATGAGTCAGGGATGAGGGGAGGAGTCCTTAGAAGAGACCCCCCCCACCCCTCCCCGTGCAGGAAGCCTGTTCTCATCAGCCATGGACCCTCCCAGCTTCCAGAAATTTCAGCAATCTAGTTCTGGTGTTTAAGCTGCTCTTACTCCAGCAGGCTGGCTGGTCCAAGATAAGTGATATCTCAGTAAACAAGTTTTGGAGGAAAAAAAAATAACAACCAAGGGAATAAAGATAACAAAGGATAAGAAAAGAAAAAGAAAAAGGTCCTCAGTTTTTCTGGTGCCTACAGATAACGCCATACAAAGGCTACTCAAATATACAATGCCACCCTACATATTTTCTTTACTTCCCATGCTGGTTTTGTCCTAAGGAATGCTGTGTTTTCATAAGGCTACTTTAAAAAGCATTTCAGAGGCTAGAGCGATAGTAGTTAGGGCAGTAAGGCATTTACCTAGCTCGGGGTTTACATGGCTAGTGGCCTACCCAGATTTGCTCCCCAGCATCACAAATGGTTCTCAGAGTCTGCCAGGAGTGATCCCAGAGTACACAGAGCCCAGAGTAAGGCCTGAGCACTGCTGGGTGCGGCCCCCAAGCCAATATAAGTAAACAGCACTTTAGAGACATGAACCTGGATGTTTGTCCTGTCCTCTTAAACTGTCCTGAGCTTGGTTTGAGCAGACAAGACAGAACTCACAGAACTCACAGGGCGAGGGGCAGAGTTCCTGTCCCTGGAGAACACTGCCTCATAGTCAAGGCTTTCTGGAGGCAGGTAGATAATACGGTGGAAACACTGCTCCCCCGATTCCATCACCGGGTCAAGGGGGTTCTCCCCATTCGCCCTACAGCACTTAAAGCCAACTACGCTCCCTCCGGGTCCCTCTGCTTTTTGGCACGAGAGGAAACTGACAATGGCCTCAACGAGAGGGTATGCTCCAGGCGCCGTGCCAATTAGAAACCTGAAATAGAAAAATTGAAAGAAAGGAAAAAAAAACCCAAGCACGTAGAACAAGACCAAAAAGCAAACCTAGAATTTGGATTTTATCCTTCTGCAAGAAATGAATTTGGAACAAGTTCATTTTCCCAGGTCTCGCTAGGAACCCACTGTACTGGCTGAGCTCGGTCCTTGCCAGGCTGAGGCCAGGCTCCAGGCTTCAAAGGCACAGCACAGGGGCCGCCATGCCTGCCATCTCCACCCGAGCAGCTCTTCCCCTCAGCACCTGCCGAGTCTGATGGCCTGGCAGGGAGTGCCAAGGCCCGCCTCCCGAATCCATTTAACCAGCACAGCTACCACTGGTCTCTCATCTGGGGGCAGGAGAGCGCACACAGCCCCCTGTGCAAAATGTCAGTGGAATGAACGCACTGACTGAGTCTCATTTAGCAAAAACTAATTTCAGGGTCATAAAACGAAAGGGGAGGGACGTGGCTAAGACATCTTTTTATACGAGTTAAGTGATAAAATCCGATATCCTTTTTTAGCATGTAAAAGAACATTTATTTAACCTCTGATGAAAACCTACAAATATGTGGATTTTTTTTTTCAAAGCTTGCCAGGAGCTGAAATTGTTATCGCTTGCCGGACAGTCTGCACCAAGAATCTGAATGGACCTGGGAAACACGCGCTCCCCAAAGGGCAGCAAGATCCAGCCAACAGTGGCCCCTGTGGAACTGCAGCTGATGCTTAGGAAATGGACATGGCGGAAGTCAGGTTCAGAGAAATTCCAAGGGAATCTCAAGTGCTCTTTTCTAAATCAGGATGCAAGGTGTTAGGGAAATCCAGATTTAGACCTGAAAAGTCTAAAAAAAGATCTAGGAGTGGCAAAGGGGGGGGAAAAAAAAGATGCAATACACTGTACATTTCAAAGTAGCTTACTGGTACATTTCATCTCTCAGCCCACAGTAAAATTTTGGAACCGATTTTACGAAGAGGGCTCTGAGGCTTCATTCCCCGAGAGACAAGAGACAAGCTCCTCACCTGTACCAGATCTGTCCCCCCCATGCCCCGCCCCCAACTGCTGTCTAGGGCACGTGAGACAATGGAGAAGACCCCCAAGGGGACACTGCCTTTAGTTCCCCTACTGCCAATGTCTTCGGTGTCATACGGCGGGAGAAGGTGCCCCGGGTGCGGGGCCGAGGACTGGGACAAGCCAGAGAGAGGCCAAGCCTGCCCCGCCATCCCTCCTTCCGTCCCCAGCAGGAGCAAGGAGGGCAGCAAGGTGCAGTGGGAGAGAGCAAGGAGGGGCTTGCTCCCGAGGATGCGGGGGAAGGGAGACCCGGCAGGGCTGCTGCACAGAGCCACAGAGCTGCCCCCCTCCCCACCCCGGGTGCTGCGTCCACTAGAGCAAGCGCCAATCCAGGACACCAAGACCCCCAAACCCCAAACCCAGCCCTCCCACCAGGCACATCTTTGAATTCAGAAAATTCACTTCAAGCTCTTGGTTCCTCATTTTCTCAAATTGGGGATGGGGTGGGGGGAGGGGAGCTGGGCTGCATCATTTCGAGGAAGATCTTAAACATCAGCCCAGACCACGTAGGTCACTCCCACATCCGCACCCCATTGACTGGGCAACTGTAGAGTAAGAGCACCGTTCAGAGAGACACACAGGTAACAAGCATCTTGGCATGAGGAAAGAACTCGGGACATGGAAGCTGCCACAGTGACTAGCAGGGTCCTGAGACTGTGCCAGGTGACCAGGAACAATGTGGTTCCCCACAGGAAGTGGAGCGGGGTTGGGGGGGGGGGTGGGGGGGAGAGGAGTGGTGGTGTCTGCTAGAAAGGTACTAAGTTTGGGTTTGCCAAGCGGGTCTCTGGGAAAAGAATACCTAAGTGGCCTGTAGATTAGATGGTGGCGAAACTGGAGGCAACATGTGACGTGTGTGTCTGCGCGCACGTGTGTGTGTGTGTGTGTGTGTGTGTGTGTGTGTGTGTGTGTTGGTGGTGCGGTGTCAGAACAGTCAACCCCAGAGGTCACCGTCTGTACAACCTCCTTCGTTGAATGGTCAACCCCCGAGGCGGCTGTCTGTACTACCTCCTCAACTCCTGCATGGAAATTCTGCCGTGAGGAAATGAGCACACTGGACACTAACCAGAACTCAGGAATCTGGCTGGCCCGAGTGTGCTGTGGAAAGACCAGCCACGCACAGGAGGTGAGGGCAGGCATGTCTGACTCCCAGGCACCAGTCTTCCCCTTCGCATAAACACTGTCTGAGCGGGGCATGGGAGACACACAGAATTTCCCGGAAGTCCACACAAGGTGCTGCTATTAACCTGATCCCGAGCAGGAGACAGTTCCCACCACAAGTCCACAGCGAAACGTCCCCACTCTGCCTCCATGGGGGTTTCCTGAGAGCATGACCAGGCTCAGACAGTGGTTCTGGAGACATGACTATCCAGAGTCCGTGGACTTGTCTTAGCTGCATGAATTCTCCTACTACGAACTACACAGATGAGCACTGTATATTGTCCCACGAATTCTCCTATTGACTGTTCAGATGAGCACTATATAATGTACTGTGAATTCCCCTCGTAACTGTACAGATGAGCTCTGTATATGGTCTGTCCCATGAATTCTCCAGATGAGCACTGTATATTGTTCATTACATATATAATACCTGGGTAAATAAAAACAATTCTCCCGAGAAGCTCTAAGTGAAACTTCAGAACTCTCGGATGCTGGAACTTCTCCATGGGGCAGCTTTGCACATGCTAACAGTGCCAGGGCACCGCCAATGTTAATCAAGGGGCTTGGGGGCTTTCCCAAGTGTGTAGGTATGTGTACACATACTGGACCTGGGCTGTGTCCAGACATGGTTGATAACCCAAGTAGCTTGAGAACCAGTATACAGACTCAGATCTGGTTCTGTGGACTTGGAGCTCCAGAATCTATTAAAATAGGAACTGCAGCTGCAGCTACAAGCTCTGGAGAGTAACTGTGACGTGTCAGAAGAGTTTTGGAATCGGTGGCTTAAACCATTTTGTGATCCCGAACAATACTGCATGTTTAGTGTTCGACGTTTTATCTTGTGCCACGTCCAGAATCAATTCCTCAACCCCTTCTTGAACTGGCACAGCCAGGGGGTGGCAGGGGAGGGGATTAAAGGACCACTGGACTGCATGTGGATTTCACTGGTTCAGATGCAATTCTCTTTGCATTCAGAAATGAAAATTAAAAATATTTATAGAGGTCCTCTTCTTCAACCTTCCACCCAGGGCTAAAAATTTCACCTGCCAAGAGAATGCATGGGAAAATAGTCCAAACTCCTGTCACTTCTGTTATCGGTGACAAGTTTACCAAACGGTCACTCCATTAGAACACAGTTCGGGACAGGGAATTCCAGTGCATGCGTCTACTCTGACCTGTAGGTTCTGTAAACCTCAGCGTTAAACAGTTTATCCCTGGAAAAGAGTGTGTTCAGCGGGCAGGGTGCTAACAAGCCTTGCACCCAGGCATCTTAGAAGGCCCCTGAACCCACCCACAGAACACCCGAGTGTGGAGCTAGGAGAAAAGCCTGAGAACCTT